CATCATTTGGACATTCATAGCAGCGAAATTATCTGAAAACTTTCAATGCAACACAGTTCTGGTAACTGCCTGGCGATGCTGGTCGTGTCTACCGGTGAAACGTGGGACTACACCCGGTCGTTGAATCTTGCGAGATTTGTGTCCAGCAACAACACGACATGTAGCGGTGCTGCTGAAGCAGCAACACGTTCCATAATAAATAGATAAAAATTGGGGTTAAATCGCGTAAATATCAACGTGTGGTTAGATCCGCCAGCAGCCGACACGGCCAACGAGGCCTGTCAGGTCAACAACGCGTGCCCAATTAGTGACTACTTCAGCACTAGCCGGCGTGTTGCAGAGTAAACCCACTACAACATTTACAATTATAGTGTAGTGTGTAGTGTATCGTGTATAGTGTAGTGTGTAGTGTGGTGTGTAGTGTAGTGTGTAGTGTATAGTGTAGTATATAGTGTAGTGTATAGTGTAGTGTGTAGTGTAGTGTATAGTGTAGTGTGTAGTGTAGTATCGTGTGTAGTGTCGTGTGTAGTGTAATGTATAGTGTAGCGTGGAGTGTAGTGTGTAGTGTAGTGTGTAGTGTCGTGTATAGTGTAGTGTATAGTGTAGTATATACTGTAGTGTGTAGTATATAGTGTAGTGTATACTGTAGTGAAGTGTGTAGTGGATAGTGCAGTGTATAGTGTAGTGTATAGTGTAGTGAATAGTATAGTGTAGTGTGTCGTGTATAGTGTAGTGTATAGTGCAGTGTGTAGTGTAGTGTGTAGTGTATAGTGTAGTGTGTAGTGTAGTGTATAGTGTAGTGTACAGTGTAGTGTATAGAGTAGTGTAGTGTATAGTTTAGTGTATAGTGTAGTGTATAGTGTAGTGTATAGTGAAGTGTATAGTGTAGTGTGTAGTGTCGTGTGTAGTGTAGTGTGTAGTGTATAATGTAGTGTAGTGTATAGTGTAGTGTATAGTGTAGTGTAGTGTATAGTGTAGTGTGTAGTGTAGTGTCGTGTATAGTGTAGTGTAGTGTGTAGTGTAGTGTATAGTGTAGTGTGTAGTGTATAGTGTAGTGCATAGTGTACTGTATGTTGGAGAGTAAACCCACGACAACATTTACAATTCGCGAGCCGTGACGTTTCCGAAACAGGAAAGACCGGAGGACTTCCAAAACAATTCTGGCTAATCGCCTGACGAAGCTGGTTGCTGCAATTGCCAGCGAGGCGCCAAGATTTGTGTGCTGGCGTCCTGTACTAGTCACGAATTTGGGCACGGCTTGTTTACGTGACACACCTTACTCATGGGCTGCCAGGTGTTTGTGTGTTTGTTGAACTTCTTTCGCACCCTACGTGCTAAATCGGAGGTGCGGGAAATCGGATGTTGGTGGAGGGTTTAACGACGCATTTATATTCACCCACTCTAACACAAATAAACCTTTTGTCACGAATATTGGTCGCGAAAGCCAACGTATTACGTGTTAAACGTGTTAAATGGTAATGTGTTAGCCAAGTATGCGAACGCGACAACTTCATTCACCGGCCGTGTCGGGTGGAGGAGGGTGCATGACACACATTCTACTCGCGCGATCCGAAGGAAAATATGAATAAATACATTATTAATCACGTGACCCACTTGGGGAGGCGTTCATCCAGCAGTGGATTGACCATGGCGAGGGGCGCCACGGTGGCTAGGAGATGTTAACTACCTCGCCTGGTAGGCAGGAGTCGCGGGTTCGATCCCAACCATGACGCCTGCTGTACATTTGGAGTTTGCGTGTCTCTCTCTTTCTCCCCGTGGTCTCGTGGATTTTTATGCGGGTCCTCCAATTTTTCCCTCCACGTTTAGAAAAATGCTTTTAAAGTAAACGGCTGCCATACATTTCCACACGTGATGAGTCACTTTGTTGAGCCATCATTTGTTTAAATAATACTTTTAGGGGGCTTTACCTGCTAGCATAAACAAAAACGGTGTTCGTTTTGCGTGTATACATGTTCAGTGATGTGTTTAGCTTTCATACACTTTGCACTCCTATCCTGTTTGTGTAATTGTTTGTTGTGTGGGGGCCGACGTCCACCCCACCGCCCTTGCCGAGCAGGTGGAGCACGAAGTTTGTCCCCTCCACTCCTTCCTCCACCGCGCCGTTCGGCCCCCGCCGGGCCTCCGCCGACCGGGTGATCGGTCCCCCCGCGTTAGCGCCCCCTCTGAGGGACATCGCTAAATCGCTGGCTCACCGCCGCCCGGGGTTACTCCCCACACGCCCACGTGCACCGCCACTAACACGAAGGCGGCCGCGTGCACGCGCGCGCGGCCCTGCGGGCGCTCGTTTCACACAAAGGCTGGCGCTACAGCGGCTGTGTGAATATGCGCGCGCGCGAGCGCCTCCGGGTGGTTAACCCCGACTCCGCTTGCGCACAAAGGCCAGCGCTAAAGGGCTGCGCGAAGTTGGGCGCGCGCCTCGCCGCTAAGGCTGTTGCTGCTGCGTGAACACGCGCGAGCGTCGGCCAGCGGGTTCTAGCGCAACCCCTCGCCCGCCCTAATGTTCGCGTGGCACGGACACGGGAGTGTCGGCGGCCGTCTATGTTTAATACACGCGTGCCTCACACACACACACACACACTCAAATTACCAACACCACACCGACGCTGCAGCCCTGCGCTCACTCTTTCGCACCCGCACCACACACAAATCGCAGACGCCACGCCGATGTTCTACCCACACACACAGAAATCACGCGGCACCGATACTCTGTGCTAAAGTTTATTGACGGCGCACATACACACTACCTGGAGGGGGAATATTTTGCGGGAAGAGCTTAGACTGACCCTGCCTACGAACCCAATCACTCAAACGTCCTACCACGTACCTCGAAGCTGTACTCACGGCGTCGCACGGACGCTGTGAGAGTCGAGGGAGAAGGATGAGAGAAAACCTCACCTGTCACTGCCTCGTAGCAGCACTCGTTGGCATCACACGGATGCTGCGAGCGGCTCGAGGAGGCAGGACGGCAGGGAGTTGGGTCTTGACGGCCCGGAGGTTGAAGACAAGAGAGAAATATCGTCCCGGGCTACTCTTTTTATTCCCTTAACTTCAAAGGACGGGGTGCCATTGTACCGCGCGGCCAATCGTGCACTTACCTGTGGTTACCCCCCCTCCTGTTACCGTGTCCTCCCTCGAGTGCTGCGCGGCCACCCATTGTCCCTCGTTGCCCATTGTCTGGAAGGGCTCTTGCGCTTTTGCTTGCTCAATGTTCCGCCCTCCGCCCTCCCCCCAGTGTTGTGAGTAACTCATCGTGGTTGGCCCAGGGAACTTTCTCCTTCTGCGCCCATAGAATTCGAAACCAATTTTAGGGGCATCGCAATGTCGCCTGTCCTGCGGGGGTTGGCCAATCTCCTGGCACCGGGAAACCGTGGGACTCTCCCTCTAGGGGCCCGTCGGATGAAAACCCGACGTGCCAGGCAACCCCCCGCCAGGACACTGCAAGTGCTGCGTGTGTGCTGCGTGTGCTCAGGCTGGGGGTTAGTGGACAATCGCGGCGCTTGCGGAGCTGCTCCACGGTCGTGCCACCACAGTTGCTGCAACGTTCTGACCCCGTGCCCCTACTGGACATCTGTGGAAAAAAAGAGCTTTATGGCTCATCAGTATACATAGATATTCCGATTCAAATTCTTAGCTCTTTCGGTAAAGTCACGTTGAAGGGAAACAATAAAATAATAAAACATGTATTTTATTGTTTTATATATTTTTTATTATTTTATTGTTTCCCTTCGACGTGACCTTAGCGAAAGAGCTAAGAATATGAATTACTGCAGTCACGAAAGCTTTAAATCAAAATTCTGATTCAAGTTCAACGTTCCTTTGACAAAGCGTGTGGCGCCGCGTTTTTGTATTGTTTGTTGATGTGACATTCTTCATAGCTCATTGTATTCCTCCAGTTATAAGTAGATATTCAGGTTCTTGCTGATCTCATCAAGGAACATAAAAAACAGTTTAACATGTAGCTTGCTTTCGCGACCAATATCATCCATGATCGAGGTTTTTTTTTGGGTTAGATCACGTACATATAAATGTGTCGTTAAACCCGCCACAACCAATTATTAAAGTTTGTCGCGTAAACAGAACCTGGCCAATTCGTTACTAGGACAGCACGCCAGCACACAAATATTACTGTCTGCCTGATGATGCGAGTTGTAATTACTGGCGGAACGTCGTACTCAGATTGTAAATGGTGTGGATTTTCTCTGCAACACAACCGGTGTGCTGTACCAGTAACGGTTTGGCACGTTCTGTTAACGTGACACTAAACCTCGCTAATTGGCTGTGTCCGGGTGGTGGCGGCGGGTTTAACGGCACATTTAAATTTACGCGATTATAACCCCTAAAAAAACCTCCCCTACATTACGGAGCAAAAACCATCACGCAAACTGTGGTCATCCTCGCAACAGCAGCAGCAGCGGCGGCTTTTGTCTGCACCGCATCATCGCGTGGCGCTTTCAGAATCGCTTCTGCGGCCGTCTGGAACGCTGTTCCCTTCCAATGTTAGGAAGCCACTGGGAGCGATGCTGCACTTTTAAATAATCATCATCATCTCGATTGATGAAACTCGTTTTTTTGTGCGTTTAGTGTTGTCCCCCCCCCCGCACCTCCGATTAGCGCGGTTTGTCTACGTACGGTGCGAAAGAAGTTCAACGTTGTACGGTATTCTAATTCTGAATCATTTAAAAGTTCCACCAGTGTTGGACTCTACCATTGTCTCACATTTACACCCCCCTCCTCCCTACGCCCTAACACCACAATCGCCCGGGCTGTTTAACAGTCTAGCTTCACCCCCCCCGCCGCGCGCTAATGGTTTCGTCCCGGTAACGTCACCGCGTAAGTGACCTCGCCCAAGTCGTTGACAAGGGGGGGGGGGCAAGCGGAGAAGCGCGGTGGGCGTTAGTAGAGAAGCGAAGCGCGGGTCGGATCAACTCAAGAAGACCACCGTGACACCCCCCCCCGCGCGCGGTGTAATGGTCTCGCCCGGTGACGTCACCGCGCAAGTGACCTCGCCCAAGTCTCGGCTGAGGCGAGGATAGAGAAGCAAAGCGCGCGGCGTCCTCCCCCTCAGAGAGCGAAGCGAAAGGAATCGCGCGGGGCGGATCGACTCGAGGGAAAAAGAAACGCCATCGCGGACCTCCTCCACCGCCATCCTCGACTTTCTACTCAGCACCGCCAGAGCCTCGTCGCTACTCTTACTCCCCCCCCAGCTCCAAACTACCACCACCTTCAACCGGCCGCTCATCACCTTCCTCCACGGGTCTGCCGCCTCTTCGCGCTCTCTGGCTCTCGCTCACCGTGTGCGGTAAACCAACGTAAGTTTTATCGGGACTCCCTCCCCTTGCCTCGTCGCCGCGGTGGTTGATGGTGTTGGTTGATGTTGTTGTTGGTTGATGTTGTTGTTGGTGGTGGTTGATGGTGGTGGTGGTGATGACGGGACCCCGTAAAATGGCGGCTGCCTCTTCCTGGCCCGCCCGCCGCTCGCTCCCTCGCCTCTCGCTCCCTCGCCTCTCGCTCTCCGTTTCTCGCTCTCCGTTTACTCGTCCAGCATTTGGCGATTTCCGATTATGCCCCGGCGGTTTTGTGTTTTTTTACATTTTAATTCTGGGCGAATTTGTGACCGTGTGGGAGTGCGCGGTTTGTTGAGGGAGCGAGCGAGAGGATGGTGGTGGTAGTGATAGTGGTGGTGGTAGTAGTGATCCTGGTGGTGGTAGTGGTAGTGATTCTGGTAGTGGTAGTGATGATGGTGGTAGTGGTAGTGATGATGGTGGTGGTGGTAGTGATAGTGGTGGTGATTCTGGTGGTGGTAGTGATAGTGGTGGTGGTAGTAGTGATAGTGGTGGTGGTAGTGATTCTGGTGGTGGTAGTGATAGTGGTAGTGATTCTGGTGGTAGTGGTAGTGATCTTGGTGGTGGTAGTGATAGTGGTAGTGATGGTGGTGGTAGCAGTGATAGTGATGATGGTGGTGGTAGTGATAGTGGTAGTGATTCTGGTGGTAGTGGTAGTGATTCTGGTGGTAGTGATTCTGGTGGTAGTGATAGTGGTAGTGATGATGGTGGTGATAGTGGTAGTGATGATGGTGGTGGTGGTGATAGTGGTAGTGATGATGGTGGTGGTAGTGATAGTGGTAGTGATGATGGTGGTGGTAGTGATAGTGGTAGTGATGATGGTGGTGGTAGTGATAGTGGTAGTGATGATGGTGGTGGTAGTGATAGTGGTAGTGATGATGGTGGTGGTAGTGATAGTGGTAGTGATGATGGTGGTGGTAGTGATAGTGGTAGTGATGATGGTGGTGGTAGTGATAGTGGTAGTGATTCTGGTGGTGGTAGTGATAGTGGTAGTGATTCTGGTGGTGGTAGTGATAGTGGTAGTGATTCTGGTGGTGGTAGTGATAGTGGTAGTGATTCTGGTGGTGGTAGTGATAGTGGTAGTGATTCTGGTGGTGGTAGTGATAGTGGTAGTGATTTTGGTGGGGGTAGTGATAGTGGTAGTGATTCTGGTGGTGGTGGTAGTGATAGTGGTAGTGATTCTGGTGGTGGTGGTAGTGATAGTGGTAGTGATGGTGGTGGTAGTGATTCTGGTGGTAGTGATGGTGGTGGTAGTGATAGTGGTAGTGATGATGGTGGTGGTAGTGATAGTGGTAGTGATTCTGGTGGTGGTAGTGGTGGTAGTGATGGTGGTGGTAATTCTGGTGGTGGTAGTGATAGTGATGGTGGTGGTAGTGATGGTAGTGATAGTGGTAGTGATTCTGGTGGTGGTAGTGATGGTGGTAGTGATGGTGGTAGTAGTGATGGTGGTGGTAGTTATTCTGGTGGTGGTAGTGATAGTGGTAGTGATTCTGGTAGTGGTAGTGATGGTGGTAGTGATGATGGTGGTGGTAGTGATGGTGGTAGTGATGATGGTGGTGGTAGTGATAGTGATGGTGATTCTGGTGGTGGTAGTGATGATGGTGGTGGTAGTGATGATGGTGGTAGTGATGATGGTCGTGGTGATAGTGGTGGGGGAGAGCGGCAGTGTAGCGGTTAGCGCTACGCTGTGCTACAAACCTGGCGACCCGGGTTTGATTCCCGCTCACGGCCAACACCGACCCCCTCGTGTGCCGTGCCGGCCTTCATAGGCGCTCGCTAACAGCACTTGCCCCAAAATTCTGTTAAGGCTACACGGGGGGATCTTTGTCTTTGGTGATAGTGGTGGTGGTAGTAGTGATGGTGATGATGGTCGTGGTGTGGTGGTGGTGATGACGGTGATTGATATTTGTGCAGCCCCACCCCAAAACACCGTGGCATGCTCTACGGACAAACTCCACGTTTGTGTACGTGTCTGTTTTTATATGCGGATGATTGTTGTTGAGTTTCCTCACGGGTGTTTGGCGGCCTAAGTTTAAACGATCGATACACCCACCGAGTTGTAGCTATAATTATTTTTGAGTTGTTCGGTCCCAAGTGTCTCGGAGTGAGTTGTTGGGGTGAGTTTTGGTGATGAAGTGGGGTGTGAGTTTGGGAGGAGGGTGAATGAGTTGGATCGGTGGGGTGATTGGGTTGAGTGAGTTTACATGGGTGAAGTCGGTGGGTCGGGTTGAATAGATGGGTGAGTGAGAGGGGGTGAGTTTGAGTTTGGCTGATTTGTAAGTCCGTCAGTAGGCGATTGAGTTTGTGGACAAAGTGAGTGTGTTGGTGATTTTCAGAGGAGGGTGAATGAGTTGAGCGGTTGGGTGAGTAGGGTGAGTTAGTTCATATGGGTGGGACGGGTTGACGGGGTGTGTGGGATGGATGGAAGGGTGAGTGAGAGGGGGGTGAGTTTGTTTGGCAAGATTTTGATTAAGGTGGACGAGTGAGTTGACGAGCAATTTAATTTGTCGGTGAGTGAGTTTGTGGAGCGAAGTGAGTGCGTGGGGGTGCGTTTGGGAGGAGGGCTGAGTGACTTTTAAATGCTATACAGATGAGGTCGGTGAGTGATCGGGCGAGGTAGGTGAGTGATCAGTTGAGGTTTGCGAGGAGCTGGGTGAAGTCGGTGAGGAGGGGGAGGGGACTCTGTTCGAGATGTCGGGCGAAGTTGCTCACAACTCGGGTGCCAAAGGTGAGGCACTGTGAGGATTGTGGCGAGGTGCTGGGCGAGACGTTTCTCTCACTCGATAGGGGCACGTCATTTGTAAATACTCTACAGCCAATCGTGATTAAACAGTCTGCCTCAGCAGCAGACCATGCTCTCTCACCTGATGACGGACGCTTGTGTTGCGCCCGAAATGTCGTGATTTATTTTATTTCATACCTACGTGACTTTACCTAAAGAACCAAAGAGTGCTCTACAGTCAAGTAACCCGTAGTTCCCCCTCGGTACTGAATTCCCACGATGGGCTGTTCCCAATTATGGCTTTCATCCAGAAGACGTTTAGAGTACAGTAAGTTGTTACCGTCATTGGTTCCAGGCTGGGTTCAGAACGGGTGGGTGGCGCGGGGCACATCAGTTTTTCGAGGTCACAGAGGGCCTTGGCTCTTGAGTGTGTACAGGCCCCATCCATCGGTAGTTCGGAGTGGGTTTGAGTCCTCGGGTTCACTGCACACCTAGTCTTGCACCTGAAGCTATCACCTCCCCAGGCTGGAGTTTCTGAAAGTTGGGTGGCGTCTTTTAGTAGTGACCCATCAGCCCGCCTCTCAAAGGATTTCCGTCTGGACCACACTAATCTTAACTTTCTTTTGGCATTCACCTCAACTTTTTTTTCTCAAAGGAGGATCCCTCGTACTAGGCTTTAACGTCACTCGTAACTACAGTAGTTGTTAATCATAAGAACAAACGATTTCCGGACAATCAATCAAATAGGACGTTTGCTAGAGCATCGATTTTGCCGACTCTTGCACGGAATTAAAATTGTACGAACCTCCCTTATATTCCATACTGTAAATGCGTCGAGAGTTTTTGTTCATTTGAAAGTAGCCGCGGGCGATGGTGCTTCCTCTTCGCACCAACCCCACACTGACCTTCTGTGCGGTGATGTATGGTCAAACAATCACCGATGACCTACACAGCCTCCATCTAGTAGCGGAGTGACAGGGGGGCAGGGGGGGGTGCCCATATATGGCTCCATCGTCATCTGGAAACGTATACATCGCAGCACAAGTAGCGGTGGTTACGAATCAAAACATTGACGGTGGGCCGCTTTGGGATTGTCACCTTGTGCGCGAATGCATTGCGAGCTGCGTTATTCCTCTCGCTTGATGCGATCGTGGGGTCAGCTCGGCGAACTCCAGTTGACATCCCGCCACACCCTGTGGGGTTGACAGGGTGTGTGGGATGGGTGAGTGCGTGAGTGAGTGAGGGGTGAATTTGTAGGCGAGTGTGTGTGTGGGTGAGTGAGTTTGTGGAACGAAGTGAGTGCGTTGGGGTGAGTTTTGGAGGAGGGTGAATGAAATTGGAGCGGTGGGGTGAGTGAGTTTATATGGGTGGGTCGGGTTGTGACAGGGCATGTGGGATGGTTGAGTGAGTGAGAGGGGTCAGTTTGACTCCGTGAGTGACTAGACGAGTGGTTTAATTTGTTAAGGGTTCGGGTTCTTTTATCATGACCCTCGAATGCCTCCGATCGGCCTCATGTTGAGAGGAGGCGCGGGCACCTGTTTTGTTTTAGTCTGGACGGCAAGGCTTGTCATCATCACCGACAAAGGTCTCCGCATAGCCTTAACAGACTGTTGGGGCAAGTGCTGTTAGCGAGCACCTAGGAAAGCAATATCCACTAAGTGGCGGTGACGTCACTACGGCACCTGTTTCAGGCCATGTGCACTTTGAGGCCACGTGAAGTGTCGAAGGCTCGCTTGACAGGAGGTCTCGGGACAGATCCAGGTGCCCATTGGTTGACTGAGATGACCGATAGATGCACCACCATCTGTACTCTAAATTGTGCCAACTTGCTGTATTTTAGCCGCCCGGCTCTCCACTTGTTGTTGCACCTATGAACACCACAACACCGCCACAACCACCACCCCCGATTTTACTCCCAAGAAATTGTGTAGTACACCACGTGGTGATCTTGAAATCCTGTCCAGTTTTATGATGATGATGATGTGCCTAAGTTAGCCATGACTGAGATTAGAAATGAGTTACCTTCATCGACGAGACACAGTGCTGCCTGTTACTTGGCTGCATGCCTTTTTGGGTCTTGGATCCTGTGTGCTCGGCAACTTTTAAAATAAATTAGAAAAAAAAACGATGAAGCCGCCCATTGCCCATAATTAGTCGCCGTTCGTTTTCAAGAATGTGTCTGGTTCCTGCCACAGGACTGTGGAACTTCCACCGTTGAACCGTGAGCACGTTGAGCACGGGGTGC